GAGTCCTATCCAGAAAGTGAAAGATAATAATGCAAGCACAAGAGGAACAAAAAAACCAGCAGAGTTGATGTCTCTGGAAGTACGAGCTCCTAAGTACCAAAATTTTACCTGCATTACAATAAAACAAAATAAAGTAATATAATGACCAGCTAATTAGAACTAAGTCAGCCAAAATTTTTAAATTATCTAGAAGACTATTTTAGGTATGGATTTACAACCTCTTGTGCATCTTACTCCAAATGTATATTAAGCTTAAAAATAATACCTACTGAATAAATATCATGATCAGAAAGACATTTAAAAATATTTGTCTTCATCCTTTTAAAATATATTTTTATACAGACTAAGAAATGTTTTATAAAATACACAGACTATTAATTTAGACAAAATTTAGAAATAAGACAGGCAGTTCTTAGCTACATTTGGCCTCAAATATCCTATCTTTGGTTTGCTTAATGTTTTTAGATTTTAAAAGTTAACTTGTAACATTTACAAATGTTTAATCCATTAATATCGTGAAATTCAGATTTCCAACTTCAAGGGGAAAAGGGATTGTGGAAAGGGATGGGAAATTATGCAATAAGGCAACACTGCACCTACATTCTCCCATGGCGACAATCGGAGGGAGAGCTCAGTAGACTGCATGGGGTGCTCTCTAGTTGGCCTGCCAGTCTCCATTTGGTTGATTTCATTCTATTACCTACTAGAATTTAAACTCTGGGGATTTCATCAGAAAGACGGGTTTTTGTCTGGTTTGTTCACCACTGTATTTCCAGGGCCTTAGAACACTCCCTGGCACATAGCAGGCATTCAATAAACATTTGCTGAAATTAATGAATAACTGTTGCCTGCCTGGCCCCTAAAAGTATGAGTTTCTGACAAGTATTCACAATATATTTCTGCCTTCCCCTCAAAGACAAATCAATCGTTATATTTAGTATAGGGCCTGACACATAGTAAGCACTTTATTTGTTCACTAAGTAACTAATGGCAATTAGTTATCACTTATCAAGTACTATTTACTATGTGCTAAACACCATACTAAAATGCTTTACGTGCATTAGCTCTAACACTCTAATACCTCTAACACTCCTATGAGGTAGATACTATTATCCCTATTTTAGAACTGAGGAAAATGAGGCTATGGAGACTAACTGGTTAAAGAATATTACAGAAAAATAACATGAAAATGAGTATGAAAAGGGCTATGTATAGAATTTAGAAGGAGAGTTCACTTTCAGTTTGGAAGGCATAAAATATTTGGGAAAGGTTCATGAAGGAGATAGTATTTAAACTAGATCTTGAAAGAAAGGCAAGATTTCCATAGGAAAGTATGAAGGAGATAGTCTGAGTGGAATGCACGATATGTGGATAAATGATCAAAAGAATAAGATTAGTAAAGTCAATAGGAAGGCCTTGAATATCATACTCTATGGGTTATGATATTATCTTGTAGACAATAAGAAGAGTCCATGAAGGTTCCTGAACTGAGGAGAGTGACAAGATTGAATGGGCGTTTTAGCAATGTTGCGGCAGCAGAACTGGTAATGGTAGTAGAAGCTATAGAAGAGATATGGAGGGTTTCCAAAGTTATAACATCTTTATAATTTACAATATATTTGATATCTAGTAATTCACTGATCTTCATTAACAACATTAATAAATAGTATTATCCATATTTTCACTTGGAGGAGCCTGAGACTCAGTAAAGTTAAAGACTATAGAATACTTTGTTGAACTATGCTGTGAGAAAAAGCAATTTAGGGAAGTCCTCAGTAATGGGATCACACAGTACCCAACAACTGCCAATAAAGAAAGGGAAGAAGAGAGCAAGGGATCAAAGATGGATAAGGTTTCTATCTTATGTCCTAGTGTCTGGGCCAATGGTCCCACCATTAACAAAAACGTAGGACAGGCAGGCCAAGAACGGGTAGTGAGTTCAGTGCTTGTGAGATACTTAGGTGGTGACTGATAGTTTAGTGCCCTCTCTGCAAGTAGTTGTTATGAACTGTGGGGTAGGTGGGCAAGGCTGGAGAGAAACTAAAAGAAGAGATGGGCTAAATTACTTCCTGACCCAGAAGGGTTATCAGTTAGAAAGGTTTTGTTACTTGCACCCAAAAGCAAATTAGAAGTGGTCTTCAGTGTCCTATTTAAGCCCAGAGATAGGATAGCTTTGAAGTTGGCTAGTTTGGTTGCTCAAAAAACATCATAAAGAGATCAGATTCTTTCCATCTTCTCTATCCTCACCCTTAGAACTGTCTGCTCTTACTTTTAAATTTTGCCTCATGATTCCAGCATTACTAATTGTAATTTCAGAGTCAGAAAGGGCTTTTTCCTTTCACGAGGCAGAACATTGTCCTTCACAGCCCATGTTTTGGATAGAACTGTGCTACCTGAGTAAGTGGTTTCTCTATTTACTAGCTGTCCTTTTGCAAGTTACTGAACCTCTCTGGGCTTCAATTTCCTCAACTAGAACATGAGAACCTGAGAATTAAATGTTTTAATATTACAGTACTTAGTACATAGCACATAGGAAGTTCTATATAAGTGTTGGCTATTATAGCTTTCTCATCTCTCTTTTTTTGAGGCTCTCACACTTTGGTGATATCTGGGTTAAAATATAAGCTGACAAAAAATAAAGCCTGGCAAATCTCTCTTAAGTAAGGCAGGCTTTTTCAGAAGTCATCCAGGCTTCCCTTTACATTTAATTAGTCAGAACTGCATCACATGTCCATGCCTAAATCAATCACTGCCAATAGATAAAATTACGATGATTGGTTTAGAGTTTACATTAATCAAGACCTACCCCTGGTGCTGGGGAGAGGCTGTTGGATTCCTGGTTAGCAAGGTGGCAGGAATGGTGATAAAACCACCAGTGTCTGCCAACACTTAGTCTTGAGAGGCTATGGTCTCTGCTAGAGAGGGTTAGAATAAGTAACTTCCATAGCTGCAAGGATCACTCCCATAGGGTTCTTAATGGCAGTGAAATCATTACAAAAGTCTGTTAAGGCTAGTGAAGTTTGGCACAAGAGCACAGGATATAGGTCAGAGCTCAAGGAGAGGACACCGAGTGATAGTGAAATAGATTCTAGATTCACGTAGGTATGATGGGGCTGTGTTGTGTCCCCAGGACTCAAAGGGCCTAAATCACCAGTGTTGGATTAGTCACCTAATCTTAAAGTCTCGGTTTACTTATTTATAAATGAGGATAACCCAAATCACCTTGACTTCGATGTTAGGATTAATGTATCCTTACAGTAGTTTCACTTCCATGGTATAAGGATTGGCCAAAACCAAAAACAACAAAAATAACTCACCAACAGCAGGACGTTCAGAACGACAGGGTGGGAAAGGGGAGAGGTACGTGAAATGGAGTTGGAGAGAAAAGAGAAGGACACCTGCCTCTAGAGGTACGTGAAATGGAGTTGGAGAGAAAAGGGAAGGACACCTGACTAAAAATATCCTTCAGGACCCTGGTCAGGTTTTGTTGCTCCACTGAAGAACTTTTACTTCAAAGTCTACCAGAAAAGGACTACTTTACTTCACACCTTAAGTATTCTAAGAGGTTTGCGTGCAGCAAAATGGGAAAGAATCTTACTTCTGGCTTTGCTGTTTACTAGCTGTGTTATCTATTGAGGTAGTTTCTTAATCTGCAAAAACTGAGTAAATCACCACCAAATTTATTTCACTGAACTTTAAACTAAACATTAGCTCCTTCAAGCACCACACATTCTTGAAACTGAAGGCCAAACAAAATCTATAACATAAAAGTCCCTAAATTTTTTCATTGATACAAAAAACCAGTTACAAAGACAGGCTTGTCAGTCTTAATGGAGCATTCTGGAAACCAGAGTGCTTAAGAGAAAGGAACTAACATTACTGAAGGTGGAAAAGAATCTGTCCTGATATTTATAGAGTCCTTACTAGGCTTCCAACACTGTGTTATCTTTAGTCCTCAAACACCTTTATGACACTGTGTCCTCCCCTCTTTCTAGAGATGAAGAAATGAAGGCACAGAAAGGGGGAAAAAACATTTATTGTGGCTGAGCTAGATACTCTCCATATGGATCGCTGTATTTGACTTATAAGTGACTTCTCTGGACAACAGCTAGGAAGTGACAGAATTATAATGCCAGATCTGACTCTACAGTCATTGCCTTGCAGTTCAAGGGAATAATTTATGTTTCCTCAGAATCAGGTATCTTACAAAACTCAATCTCAGAGTCTAATTTAGCTTTCCCCAACACACATACAAACAATAGTTGGGGTAAACAATTCGATTTGCAGTTTTTCGGTTTGTTCGAACTAAACACTTCAAAGTGGGCCCGTTAGCAAAAAAACCCACCTTTACAATTTTGCCTAGGGTTAAAATCTTTCTCTCCCTCTTTTCCAACCCAACCACTAGGGGGCCAGGCTATGAATTAGGGCTCTGGAGTGATCACCCTGGTTTAGGCACTAACTGTGTGACCTTGGGTAAGTTACCTTACCTCTCTAAGTCTCAAGTTTTCTTACTTGTAAAATAACGGATAACAGCAGTATCTATCTCATTAGGTTGTGCATATTAAGTAAAACGTGACATGTAAAGCACCCAGAACAATGCCTACACATAGGAAGAGCTTAGCAAATTTGATATTTGTATTGCTTGAGAGGAAAGACAACTGATGTTTCTGTTCCTAAGTCCAAAGGCTTGGCCATCGTACTTTTTCTGAGCACAAGCCTTGCCAGCTGGAATCCCTTCAGAAAGTGCAACAGGTCGCTCCATTTTTCCTAACCAGGGCAGGACCCAGAAACATGAAGTCCCCGACCTATATATAGGGCCATAAGGTCTTGCTTAGTCTTTGGTTATCTACCACTACAAAGGCTGTCACTCTAAACACAACCGAACCACCCCTTTTCACCTCGGTTTGGGAAGTTCTCCCGGCCTTCAGCAACCCAGGCTGTCTCTGGCATGGCTGCCCTTGGTTACAGGCCTGGAGCTGGCTCACTTAGCGTCCCCTCACCAAAAGACTGTAACCGCGACGTAGGTAGGATTTCTCCGAGTTTAGGAGAGCCACTGAATCCAGTCAAGACGAGCGTCAGTCAAACACACGCCAGGAGGAGGCTCCTTTGGCGCCGCCCGGGCCTGCGGCGGGGAGCCCGTCCCCCAGCTACAGTCTCCAAGCAGGTTGCAGGGTCAGCCTCTTTCTAGCCCCCGAGAACGTTTGGGCTCCGGCCCAGGGCCACCACGTGGGGGCCACAGGCGTGGCTACGTGTTCCCGGAACCAGCCCCCGAAGACTGCTCCCTTCATGGGCCCTAGCCCGGCCCCAAACTGGCCTGAGCAGCACTCCCGGCCTGGCTTCTCCCATAAACCTATTTGGAGGTGCCTCAGACATTCTCCGCGAATTGGAGACAGGCTGCCGCCAAACCCCAAGACTCGAAACGGCCTCAGCTCGAGTCCCCAGCTGCCTGGTTCCCTTACTCACCCATCGCGGCTCCGCTCGCTTCTACTTGGCGGCGGCAGCGGCGGCAGCTTCAGCGGCAGCTTCAGCAGACAATATGGCGGACCTGCAGGACGGCAGCCCGAAACGGACAAACAACTTAACATTCAACCCTAGGAAGAAATGCGCTCAACCCCTCAGCCTAGTTTACACAGAGGAGCGCTCTTAAAGAGACCGCAGCTACAAAGGTGCGGAATAGGGATGGAATATAAAAAGAGGTGGCTGGAGAGAGACTGGGAAGAATACCTACTAAAGAAAGCGTGCCCAGGAGTTCTCAGCTTTTTCTGCTTCTGTTTCCTCTTTATAGTGAGGTCTCCTCCACTAGAAATGTTTTCTCCCAGAAAATAATCGTTACTTTCATAAAGCCAATCATAGACCCTGAGCTGGATGTAAATAAGACATCATTTGAAGAGGGGAAGTGACTTGCTCAAGGATATAGAGGTAAGGAAATAAATACATCAAGAGTAAATGGGATTATAATCTTATCGTGAGATTAAAAAGTATAAAAATAATGAGACTGGTGCAGCGCTTTATAGTTATAAGCGATTTCGTTTATCTTCACAGCAAGCTGAGGGAAGGGATTGGTTCTGTATTGTTCTTCACTATCTCTAGCACCTAGTACAGAATCTGGTATATGGTATGTGCTCCACAAATAATTTTTGAATGAATAAACAAAGGAACAGGCCTGTGAGTTACACAAAGCATGGGAAATGATCTCACCTTTTAGAGATGAAGAAATTGAAGCTCTGTGTGTTCGTGTCTTTTGAATCATGGGATTTATGGCTGGTATACATTTGGCCTCTCTTTTTGCATAATGACAAGCCAGTCCTCCTGTTTCCCACCTCACCACAAAGGCTATGTCTTCAAGTCACTGGTCCCTAGAGAGAGCTGTCTTTTGGAAGCAGAATAACAGACCTAGACATCCAGGTCCTGTCACAACAAATTGCCAACTCTAGTAGTATGCCTGGCCCAATAAGGGAAACAATTCAAAAAGCCAACTCTAGAACTCAAGGTCAGGAAAAGGAGTACTGCCACTGCTCTATATTGATCTCTTCATTCTCTCCTGGTCTATTTTGTCTGCCTCCCCACTGATTTCCTGCCTCCAGGCTATCCCACTTGTACCCACTCTCTCTTTAAAAGGAGATACTTTATCATGTCATTCCTCTGCTTAGCAACTTCCTACTGTCTGCCCTTAGGTAATGCCCAAACATGTCAATTTGACACACGGTCTGGTCCTTATTGGCTTCTTGAGCTACTCTCCACCAGGCAACCCAGGCTCCATCCATATTTGGAATCTTTGGTTCCTTTGCCTATGCTGTTCCCTCTGCTTAGAATGTAATGCCCTCCTTTCCCCCTTGACCATGGGAAAGTGAACTACTCACTTTCAAAACCCAATTCTGCCCTCACCTCCTTCAAAAAACCTCTTTCCAGACAGTCAGGGGTATCTAACCTCTCCATTCCCCAGTGCCCTGGGCACACCTTTTCCTCAGCATTTAGCATCCTAATTTGCTTACAAGGTGTGTCTCTCTCTCTCAAGGTTGTCTATGGAAGAGACAGTATCGCGGACAAAAAAAAGAGGCACTGCAATAGATTTAACCAAAAGTAACCTCACAGGGTAATCTGATCATAAATTCCTAACTGGGCAGGTCGTGGTTGGCAGTCATATAACTTTTTTAGTAAAATGTTTATCTTTGCCTTAAGCAAGCCCTGTCCATTGTTTTTGTGCATTTAGGTTAACACTTTTGAAATGCCACAGTAATCCCCTTTTTCAGACCTCTCGAAGGCATAACCACCCTCAAGGGAGCACATAATCTTAACTATCCTGTACTTTACTTTCTTCCATCTTCATGTAATCTTATATTCCCTAATTCCAAGTGCATAAATGAAACTGCAAAACTGCCATTCACTGGAGCATTTGAGATCTTGCTTTCTGTCATTGTCATCAGTTTTGGCTCAAATAAACTTGCAGAAATTCTCTACAGCTTTTAGAAATTCTTACCTCAACAGTATCTTACCTCTCTTTGTATCTGTCTCTGTGCCTAGCACAATGCTTGCCTCACTAGAAGCACCGAAAACATTTGCTGCATTCCCTGCCTCTCATATACTGCAGTGGACTCAGTTGCATATCCTGTAGTCAAAAAATGCTCAGGGAACACAGGCAGGCTAGATGAGTGGCTGTGTGTCTCCTCTCTTCCCAGCCCCTGAGCTATATGCTCCATAGAAGCCAGGTTGGCCCTCCAAGCAGCTTTATGCTTCCATTCTAGCACTGGCCTTGCTCACAAACCCTCCATAGTCTAGAGCCATTAGTCCTCCCTGATCCAGCCCCTGCAGACCTTTCCAGCTTCACCCCACCCCTGCCCCACTTTTATCCTCTCAGCTCTGGGAATCACATTCTGCTTACCCTCCCCAAATACACTAGGATGTTCCAAATTTCTGTGCAATTGCATGTGCCCTTTTTCCTGCTGGAAGTGTGTTTCCCCTCTTGTGCACCTAGGAAGTAGCTGATACAACTCAGGCTATCCATCCTCCTCCAAGAAGTTCAGAGAGCATTAAACATTCTTCTCCCTGTGCTACTCTGTACCTTGCAACTGTTACACCCACCCCAGTGTAGTATGACTTGTTTCTGTGTCTTGGCATCCTCACCATCTACAACACCTGGCACAGAGCAAGGTCTCAGTGACTGCATGCTGGATCACAACATCACATTCTGCTAGGATAGCAGTGCCTGTCATCTTTTGGAAGGTTTTTGACCGGGCTCTACCTCCTACCTGTGTTACCTTGGATAAGTCACAATAGCTCTCTAAACTCATTCTTCATCTATGGATTAGGAGTGACAGCACCTACCTCCTACAGTTTTCACAAAAGTTGGATTAAGAAAATGCCTGTAATACACATAGAGCAGCATCTGGTACACAGTGTGCATTTGGCGAGCAGCAATCAATACTACCATGACCTCTGGTGCCTCATTTCTCCACTGGAGCAGGCAGAACCCACAGGGGCCCCAGAAGCCACACATGGAGCTTCCTGTCCCAGAATCCCACACCTCTACACTGTGTGATAGGCAAGAAGGGAAAGAAATACAGGACACAGGCTTATTGGGAGTATAAAAATAGGACTTTTTTTCCCCCTCATAATCACATCAATTATCAAAGAAAGAAACAGTATGTAACAAAAATACAAAGCTCTGGTAGATTTTTTTTGTTTTTTTTTGTTCTTTTTTTGCCCCTCACCCACTCTTCCCCAACAGCCCCTTCCCAGGGAGCCCCTGGCTGCAGCCTGAATGCTGTCCCTGGGGTCACCCTGGAGCTCAAGAGAACCGGTGGTCCAGGTCCCTCTGGGAGCTGGCTGAGTATGAGTAGGCCTTGCCCAATACCAGGCGGTCCCGCAGCAGCTTGAAGAAGGCATAGTAGTTGCTGAAGAGAATGAGTGCCAGAGAGATGGTCTGGTGCCACTTTTCAGATGACACTAAGGAGTACAGCTGGTAGACAATGACAGCGCCCTCCAGCAGCAGAAGGATGTTGTGGATCCGCAGAGGTTTGCTGAAAAAGAACTGCCCAGGAAAGAGTAGGCATAAACTGGCAAGTATGTCCTGGAAACCTGCCTCTCAGAAGGGCTGGGTGGGCCAGTGAAGGGGACGAGCTCTTGGAGTCCCTTGCAGACTTGTTTTCTTTCTGTCTAAAGACTGCTGCTTCCCACATAAGTTGTTTAAGATCCTGTTCAACTTCTACCTCCTCCAGGAAGCTTTTCTTGAGAGGTCTTACTCTCTCGAACTTTTTCTGGTCTAAAATCAACACCCTTTTCTATGTGATCCTCCTGGGCACTGTAAGACTTGAACAAATTAGTATCTTATAGGCATGGAAAGCTATTATACTCTACAGCCTGAATCACTCAATACTTCCATGTGTAGCATCGCCAGCTAGGCCAGAAGCTTCCAACAGATATGGCGATACTTCACTCTTACCTGGTGTTTATAGGGCAAGGCAGATGTAGGGACTCAAGAAAAATTTTCTGATCAGTTCAAAAGAGTGCTCAATGTCTAGGGAATCTTGGTTTTGCAGAGGCCAAGGCACTTAAACCTTAAGAGCTGCTTACAGGGTAGAAGAAGTGGCAGGAAATGGGAGTCCAAGAATCTAGCATGCCAGGCTCAGCTCTGCACCTGACAGGCTACAGGACTCTGGGCAAATCCCTTTTCTGTCTGGGCCAGAGGTCTTTCTCTTGAAGAGATCACACGTGTCAATGATTTCTCCCAACTGTGTTCCTTAGAGCCCCAGGTCTGAGGAGTTATTTCAGAAACTAAAGCAGTAGTGAGTGGGAAGTGAAAGGAGTTCCAACCCTTTCAAATACAGCAGTACCATAAGGTCCTATATATACTGGACTTTAGTCTATGACTGTGCTGGAAAAAGGATTTTGATAGTAAAATAAATAAAAAATAAAACCACTAGCCTAGATGATTTTGAGCAGCCCTTTCCATAGTGTCACTACCATCAGTGTCCAAATTTCCCAGTAAGGCACCCTTAAACTCTCTTAAAGTGATTTTAGTACCTGAAAATGGGGAGAGCCCCGGCATTTCTCCCATATATAAGGTGCCGGTAAAGACTGATGGAAGGGTACATGTGAAGTGCTTACCACAGTGCCTGGCACATAATAAGGAATGATACTTATTATTTTCA